AGGGATGGGAGTGGGAATGAAATTGCTTTCTGGTTCTGAAACTCCTCAATTTTAAAAAAGCAAATAAAAACTTCCCAAAAAAGGTAGGTGAATGTGTTGCCAAGCTTGCCTTGTGTTCTTGGCTTTAATGTACAGAATTATTTAGAAGAGTTCTCATATAAAGCCATGCCAGTGAAAATAACTGCCAAATTTATCATAGGCTGCTACAGGCTGAGACACTGGCGCCACCTCAAAGAAATTCACATTTGCTAATATGAACTAGTAATTTTTGTTTTATTGTGCCTTTTGGGGGGAAACATCCTTTCTAATAAAAAGATACATCCTCATTTCTCAGTATAAAAAATCAATTTTTGTATTGACAAGAATAATTAACCTTTTCCCTGTTATCTGTGTGGGACCATCAGTCAAAAATTTAAATTTGATAAAAAATTTTATTTGGTCTTGACCTGCTATCTTCCTGCTCCCTGATTGCCTTCTCCAGAAGCTTTTAGGCTTCAAAAATTCACATAGTGAGACTTTTTCTCTAGATTTTGGTTTTATCAATTAGAGAATTTCCCTTCTAATGAGTATTAAAATAAACTTCAAAATTATTTTTCATTTTATAAAAATCTCTCAAAAGAGAACCCTAGTGCACTGTTAGTGGGAATGTAGATTGGTGCAGCCACTATGGAAAACAGTATGGTGGTTTCTCAAAAAAACTAAAAATAGAACTACCATATGATCCAGCAAGTCCACTTCTGGGTATTAATCCCCCAAAATGAAAATGCTAATTCAAAAAGATACATGTACCCCAATGTTCACAGCAATATTGTTTACAATAGTCAAGATATGGAAGCAACCTAAGCGTTCATCAATAGATGAATGAATAAAGAAGATGTGGTGTGTATATATGTATATACCATATATATACAATGGAATATTACTCAGCCACACATGCAAAAAAATGAAATTTTGCCATTTGCAACAACATGGATGGATCTGGAGGGTATTATGCTAAGTGAAATAAATCAGACAGAGAAAGACAAATACTTTATGATACCACTTATATGTGGGGTCTAAAAAATAAAGCTAAAAAATATAAAAAAATAGAAAAAAAATTTTAATTTGAGAACACAGGAATAAAATGATTTAACTGGTGAGTCAGGGTCCAAAGATAGAAGTGACTCATAATATTATTGCTTCTGCTTGTTTTACAATATATTGCAGAACTGTTTATAATTTATTAAATGGGTTTATAACTGGTTGGGGGGGATAAGCTGAATAGATGGAATTATTTTAAATTAAAAATAAAATAAAAAACATAGCATTTCTTTACTTCTGATGACTAACCCTCATTAATAGCAGATATTTTTTATGTTTTATAAATTTTGGAATCATCTTTATTTGTAAGTTGAAAAAAGATATAATTTTGTTTTATTATTTAGATTTGCTTATCTGATTAACAGTCCTCTAGAGAGGAAAAGGATTAGTATCTATTACTTATATAGCACTTTTTAAAGTGCACTGACATAGAAAATAAACTTATGGTTTCCAAAGGGGAAAGAGAATGGGGGGGGAGGGATAAATTAGGAATCTGGGATTAACAGATAAACACTACTATATATAAAACAGGTAAACAACAAGGACGTGACTGTATAACAGAGGGAATTATATTCAATACCTTGTAATAACCTTAATGGAAAAGAATCTGAAAAAGAATTACACCTGAAACAATGTAAATCAACTATAAGTCAAAAAAAAGATCTATTGGAAGTCTGTTCTATAATCTGAGAGGGAAGAACTGAGCATGTAACACTAACCTTATCTGATTCAAATTAATCGTTTAAAATGTTCCATGGAAGCAAGAACATCTGCCAGCCCTAAGTAACCAAAGAGATAGAGATTTTAGCTAATCAAACTAGAGAATTAGATTCTCTTAGTAGAACAGAATCAGGCATCCACCAGGAAGAAGACACTGTAGAAACCATTGCAGTGGCAGATGGAAGATACCTCAATATGAAGTGACCTAAGAACAGGATAAAGACAAAAGGCTATGTTTTCTCTCAAAGTTGACCATAAGCGCTGCTATTACTGGAATTAATTAATGCACATTTTGATTGGCCAATTCTGAATTGTTTTAGGAAATTTGAGTGTTCCAGCTGAGACTATTGGGAGTGGTGACTGGCACATTGTATAAGAGTCTCAAATAGTCTAGATATTAATTTATGTTCCAAGGAATATCAGTAACATATTCTTTATCCTTCATCAACTTGAGTAGCTTTCATAAAGGATATAACAGTTTTGAGAACTTAGAAGCAGAAAAAATCCAAAAATATGTTAAATCACTCTCCTCTAGGTTCTTTGACCTGATGATCAAGGCCTCTATTTTGTCCTCTGTTCTATACCTCTGTACTGAGTTCAGCTCTCCTCCTTCCCATCCCACCTAAATGATCCATGGGCAAGTTCAGATTTACATTATTATCATCAGATTCTTTTTTAGCCTAACTACACCAAAGCACACCTTCTAAATGTCCCAGTGTGACCTATGCATGATGCAAAATCTATTTCTTAATCTAATGCTCAGATCACAATTTTTGACTTTGCAATATCAGCATTAATTTTGAAACCTTGGCAAGAACCAAAGCGTCATTCTTACCTAGGTGCCTAACAGTGCAGGGCTCTGAGACTTTGAAAAGCAAGAGCAACTTTTCTTTGTTTTCCATCTACACAAAACATACCAACTTCCACCAACTGAGTAATGCAAATTTAGTCAGCCATCTAACAATATTTCTAAATCTGATTACATTTCAGTATGAGAACTTACAAAAGACCCCCAAAAGTCACATTACAGTGTCTGATCTACAAGGCAAAGAAAAACTAGCTTGCAGCTTAACCTTCCAAGAAAACAAAATTTAAAAAATCATACACAAAACACTTCAATGTAGCATTTTATACACATTGCTGCCAGAGAAACGAGCTGAAAGACCAAATGTTCTCATATCCGGCTATCCAGCTTCTTTTAGCACAACTAGTGAAAAGAGGAATGATTATTTATGTAATGTGAATATGACTGAAGTGGCCAACTTGTAACCTGCACTCATTTCTTTACACTGCTCATGCACAGACAAGCATGCTGTTCCCAGTCAGGAGATCAGGACAGAATCTAGTACTGATTTGGTTCTGTTGGTGCACACCTGGCATCACCAAAAGTTTTAACTCAACCAGTCACCTGATAACTTACAGCTATTTTGGTCTACTTTTGTTTGATTTAGAGCTTGGAATTATATTGTTTCCACTTCCAGTTTTAGTGTTCTTGTTTTAGTTTTATGCTTTCTTATAATGAATGGATCACTGAGCAAGATATTACCTAAATAACAAAAATTCAGAACAAGCTTCCAGCTTTGTGTTGCCAATTACTATCTATATTAACTACTTTACCAACTAATCAGAGAAACACACAAACAGAAAAGTGATACTATTTTTCACATAACAAAATGGCAAATTTTAAAAATAGTAATAATCAGAGTTGACAATGATGAGAGTAAATATTAATTGGTACAGCTTTTCAGATTGATATTTGGCAAAAATATTTTAATCCAGTGATTCCATAACTAGGAATTGACCTCAATGAAATCATCAGGGATGCAAACTAGAACATAGGAATAAAACAAATCTTCAATGAGCTGTGTATAATGGTGAAATACCACAAACCACCTCAATAACAGGAATTAGATAATTTATTAAACTTCTATATATGGAGCTACTATTCAGCCATTCCTTGATTAAGAGCAAGAATATTAGGAATGGTAATACTCTCATTATAAAACATTAATGTAATTCAGTATAGAACATTACATTGTAGGAGACCTGAATATGCCACTCCAAAATATGCCTCTTTGGTATAAGAATTATTTTTAGCTTATTATTTTGAGAAACAGCAGACACAGGGAACCTCTGAGAACAGTGTAAATTACCCTTTCATAGAGAAATTTACATTTATATAGAAAATCTCTGTTTGCAAGGGTGTCTTCCTCTTAGTACCAGGAAGAAAAGCATGACTCTAAATCACAAGAGAGTCTTACCAATGGAGAAGGCACTGATTTAAATCTGCATAATAAATCTTACCCATGTTCACTGTATTTTTCATGGTCACCTTCTCATAACTTGCTTCCCTCAACTCTTATTCCTTTGTTTTAACTGAAGATGGTATTTAAACCCAAATCCTAGCCACTTCTTTTGAGTTACTAATCCTGGAGTTTCTCCCATGTGTATATGAAATATACATGCTAATAAACTTGTTTGTTTTTCTCTTGTTAATCTTTTGTTACAGGAGCCCCAGCTCCTCAAGGATAGAAGGAAAATATACTTTTCCTCCTCTACAATATAAAATTAAATAAAATGAAGTCTGGTTGCTCTCAACTTCATTAACAAGACATTGATTTTCTTATAAAACTCCAATAGGATGTGACTTCCTGAGCAGTCATAGATTTTAGGTCAGCTTCAAAAAGAGACCAAGAAGAATGGGGAATTATTAGGATAATATGTTGAAACTGGACACATGTTTCTATCTCAGGTTCAAGTGACTTTTAATAACTGATTGTCTGCTATTGGGACTCCAGAACCCAATTTTGACCAAGCCTCTGATTTGATCTATACCAGGGTTCACAATATGGAAAGAATGTGGTAAGGTGTACTGTTGTTACACTGGGCCACAAGCCTGGTAGATGGCTTCCATTAAAAGTTAGCAACATATCTGGTCACAGAAAAATTCAAGCTATTTTTTCCAACCATGTTCCCAAATTATACCGTATTTAATTGTTTATTACAAAGAATTGCTCCCCAAATTAGTAGGTTTTACTAATTAGTTTCATACCCTTAATCACATTAAAAATATCCTAAAAGATTTTATTTAAGCCCAAGTTACTTTAAAATAGAAAAATCTCAACATTGTAATTAACCAAATTTTACTATGTGAAACACACACCCAAAATACATGAACAAAGACATACGGAAAAACTCACATAAAAGAATCCAAGTGGTCCAGATATATACGGCATTTTCATTCCCAAGAGATATTTGACTTGTGAAGTCACGACATGGGTGGCAGCCCCAGTTGTCATCGCACTGATCACAGGTTCTGTAAGCAGGAATGTGGCACTACCCAGTTGTAGCACAAACATGGCCACCTAAGAGGACAAAGGAAGATGAAACTTCCCAAGCTTCCTAGAAGGATTAATATCTGACACATTTTCATTTTCAATACACAGACATAGGGAACTGATGTGAAATGTGCTCCTTAAATTTTATATATTCAATAGCTTGAGTTTTCTTGAGAACATTACTAGTTTCCAAGATTCCCCAGATGTTTTTGGGTACAATTACAAGTCCTTCAGTTAAAGTTAACACAGTTTTTTTCTGAATATTGACTTTTTTTCCGTTTTCCTAATAATATATGTTACAAAAAAGGAAATATGTTCAAATCAGTTAATATATGGGGTTCTGTGGGGAAAAATAAAATTTGCATTATCATATCTATAATTTTTTAAAAATCCAAAGGACATGATTCACTACTTTATACCCAGTAGGCTTAAAACTTCAAAAGCATTGAGGAGAAAAAGCCATTTCTTGAGTTTCTGCCACGTTCTGAGAAATGGAAACCTACTGTTTTGACTAGATACTCCATCAAGTAGCTGTAAAGGGCAAATATTAATAGGAAAACATCAGGACTTATGTGTATATGGAGAAGAGCAAAAGACAGAAATAGGTTAAAGGAATATGTCTTAAGAAACCCAGGAATCAGTAGGAAAGTCATTCTTCTTAAACTTTTCCTTTCTGCTCCTAGCATCATGCTCCATCGCAAAACTATTTCATGGCCAGACAAAATAATCTCATCTGAGTAGAAGCTGTGCATTGAGCTCTGCTGGACAAAAGATGGCAGCAAAAATCAATTCTCTTTTCTCTACTTACTACTAACATTGCAATGATTAGTGCAGAGAAAGAACTTTTAGGAGATGGCCCACTCTTTGACTGAATGCATCCATGTAAACTCAGTCATAGAGATTTGTTGTTTTGAAAGTAACATTAAATTACATTAATGAGTATCCACACTGGAAAATGAACACAAATTGGGTCACGCTGATATATCCTCTTAATGTGTTAATTATAATATTTAGGTCAGGTCTTAAAATTCTTGTTGGAAAATAAGATTAACTATTAAAGAAATCAAAGGAAAGAATAGCAATGAGATCTCCTTCTATCAAAAGGTCACAGTGATAAATATGAGAAGTATAAAGTGCTATCTAAGTACCACCAAAGCACACATTGCAAAATATATCATTTCCATCATATCACAATGTCCCTTGGCCAAAAGCAGTAATACTCTAAACTTGTATTAGGGTGGAGTTTTCTGGGCTCAAATCTGAAAACTTAAGTTCTGATTCTGGCTCTACCACATCCTAGTTTTTGTGACTATAGAAAATCTGTTAAAAATTTCCAAGCCTCATGATCTATAAATAATTAGAATGATGTCTGCCCTATTGATATTGCAGAATTGTTGTAAAGTGAATGTGAAATAACATATGAAAGAGCTTTGAAACCTGTAAAATGTGCAACATATGCGATGTACCTTGTATGTCATAAGGTGCCATATATATTTACCCAGCATGGAAAACTAGCCATGAGATTTCAAAATGTAGAAAAGGTCACACCATATTTTCCACTTCTGGAGAACATGAACAAATTTATCAGTGCAGAAAGAAATGTATTTGAACTGTTTGCATCTATGTGTCAGTTTGTCAAATAGAAATGTCCCAAGGGAAATACCCAATCAATCAATAGTATAGGTACAGTTGGAACACACTGATTCATAGTCTGTTGATCTTCATCCTGAAAACACAATTAGTTAAGAAAAATACTGAACCAATTTTTCCCAAGTATCTTTCTACTAGTTAGTTACAAATTATGACACTAACTCTTAAAGGCCATGAGGATGAAATTAGCATATTATTGGGGTAAGATGAACTCCAGAGAGTTGGATTTTCATTTCAGCTAAATGCAGTATACAAGCAATCCAAATCGTTGAAATTGTGAAACCTGTTTGCATATATGGAATTTTATGCATACATGGAATGTTAGAAAGTTCTTATCTGTATGACAAGAAATCTTATTTTCATTTATTTTGAGAAGCAAACTCCTTTGGGAGACCTCGTATAGATCATCACCATTTTATTTTCTGGTTTTTATTTGTTTCCTACCCAGCGTCTACTTAAAAGTGTTAATGATTTCTCATGCCTGAGAAACAAACATCACCTAACCTGAAGTGATACACCAACAACTTCCAGCTAACCACCATCTTCTAGTAGCAACTTCTTTATGTCATTTCCACAACCTGAAAGTTACAAATGGAAGGGTATGGGAAAAGTTCAAGATATAAAAAGAGTTCAGCCCTTTCAAATATTCAAAATATATATACTTACCTTACAATATAAATCAAAAAGATTTAAAACTTATCCAAAGACTCAAAGTATTTTTGTAATATTCTACCCATAGTTTTATACTTTAAAAAAAATCTTCCCAGCAACGAATAAATTCCTAAAATGGAGAATTCTTGACTTTGAAAGTTCAACAAGCCCCTTAAGACCTCATTTCTGATACAAAATATTGTGTATGTAAAGGATGATTGCAAACATGTGAGATTTAGCTAAAGAGAAATTACTTTCTTCTGGATGACAACATTCTCCATAACCCAAAACAATGGCAGAAATTTTAAGAAGGAAAAAGAGGAAGAGGAGGAGGGGGAGGGATAGGACAAGGAGGAGAAAGAGAAGAAGGAGAAATTTAAGAACTTCCCTTTCCCCAGCACCCAAATCTCAACAGTTTATTCACATCAAAATTAGGGATCTAGCATACAGAGGCTGAGGTACACAGGTTGAAGGCAGCAAGTACCTGTGCAACACAGGCTTTGTAAGAGGTCCCCACAAATGGAACTGTTGTTTCCAAGATTTTTCTGGAATTTAAGTATGTAAAATGAGGATCCTTCTAGAATATTTCACTTGGAGGCCTAGTGTTTAAATTTTATGTCAATGTTAAACAATTTTTAAGCTAATGACTTAATAAAGAGCTACATCAATGCCTTTTACTAATAATAGGAATGATGATAATTCTAATCTGGCTAGCTAATTCCCAAAAACTTACCCATGCAACATTTTATGAGAAAATAAATTTCTTACAATATATTTCAGCTGTTTGTAGTAATGTTGATGTTCTGGGCTAATGCTGAAAACCTCTGACACACATTATCAAGGTTCACTAGCATGACACTATTTGGTAATGCTTTTATAAACACCATATGTTCTATATAAATTGAATATATGTCAGATTTCAGGCCATTTTTTGCAAGTGGCCTTCAAGTAGTGAAAAAAGAAAAGAGTGCATAGAAAATAGCTATACTACCCAAGTGGATGGAATATTGCATGCATTTCAGGTTTTGTCAGTTTGTCTGCAATCTGGCTCTCATATTATACCAAATCACTTATTTGTTTGTTCAGTGAATATTTATTGAATACCTACTAGGGGCAAGGCACAACACTGTTGCAGAATACAGAGATAAAGATATAGCTCACACTTTGAAAGAACTTATAAAGTGAGATGAAATGCTGATGTTGGGAGCAGGGAATGTTAACCAGGAGCATAAAGAACTGTAATGTAGGTGTTAATAGGGAGGTAAGGTCTAAGAAGTTGTTTGAGTGGGAGCTAAAACCCTAAAAGCCCTTTGTTCTCTACTGAGTATAGTATGCAGGTTTGGGGGAGAGAGCTAAATTGTTCGTGATAATAGGAGAACAACTGAGTACTGTGTAGGGATATGGCAGAAAAAACCTCTGTGTGACAAGAGAACATGAGAAAAAAATGTCAGGTGGATACCTATGAGGTTATGTGCTGTGGAATTCAGAATATAAAGTCCTTCTCCATACTATTCAGTAATAAAAAGGAATGGCCTATCAAGCCATGCAAAGACATGGATGAATCTTAAATGAATATTGTAAGCAAATGAAGACAGTCTGGAAAGGCCACATACTGCATGATTCCATTTATATGACATTCTAGAAAAGGCAAAACTATAGAGACAGTAAGCAGATCAGTAGTTGCCAGGGGCTTAGGTGTTGGAAAGTATGTAAAAGGTGAAACATAGGGAACTTTTTAGGATGGTGAAATTATTCTGTATGATGCTATAATAGTGTATATATGACATTAAGCATTTGTCAAAACCCATGAACCTTAATGTGTGCAAATATTTAGAAAATCATTTGGAGGTCAGGAGACCCCAGGATGGAATGCAGAATGTGACAAAGAATCTAACCGATGACCAATGCTTCATTTACTCTCTATATATGTTTTGCCTTTTCTAGAGTGTCATTTAAATGGACTCATACAATGTACAGATTTTTAAGACTTGCTAAATGTATGAACAAACCTCACTGAAAGGAATGCAGAAAATGTGCTCATGTGAATAACTCTGGAAATTGGTAAAGAATGTAAAACCAAAGGCAAAAAAGAAACACTACTGGAGTTGATAAAGTTATTTCCCATGGGAGTAGAGGTTAACAATTCTGAAACCACTATAAATATACACTGGAATTGAAAAATCAAGTAAATGGATGATAGACAGTGAGAGCCAGGTTTCTCACTATTGCATAAGTTATAGACAAGCAAGGGGAGAAGGCTAGAATGATCAGTATGGGACGGATAAGAGTTGCAGACATCAGTAGGAAACCATGTTTAGTTTAACACAGATACAGATGGATACATTTAGAAATATATAGGTATGTTTACATACTTTTGTTGATATACACACATATATGTCCTTGCTGTGTCAGCTGAAATGGCTTAGAAGCCAACAACACCCCTGTGGCACACCTCACACCCAGATCTTAATCTCTAATACCATTGTCCAATGAAAGAAACCAGATCTCCTTAGAAAAATGGCTGACTCTAGGACTAGGGTAGGAAATATACACTATGAGCCTGGATCATCTTGTAGTGCCAGAAAGTGAAAAAGAACTCCAAAATTAAATAACAAACAAACAAATAAGTGGGAGTATATTAAGGAGGGACATAGAAGCCAACTGAAAAAAAGCTCCCAATGTTCAAAGCTGGAACAACATAAAGTAGTACTGAATTATAACCCAAA